TACCAGATATCTCCAATGTGACACAAATGTTGTGCTATGTTGCCAATTCACATGTATGTTGGGGGGGGGAGGGGGGGGGGGAGGGGGGGGGGGGGAAGGATTGCAATACTAATACAGGCGTACCTCGGTGTACCAATGCCTCAGGGAACGTCATATTTGGGGTACAAATGCCAAACCATTTCAGTTCATTGTTCTGTTTACAAATGTTTGAATAATTTGGTATGGGCATGTGGCCTGGTATGGTTCAGGAGGGGGGGAGGCGCTCGCTTGTCCCCCCCCCCCCTTTCCTGACCTGCTGGGCTGCATGCTCAGATAAGTATGTGTTATGGATTTTGGGGGTACCCCATGCTGTTTTTTATTTAATTTTAGCGTGGAGTTACCCCTTAACATCCATACGAGACCCGAAGGGCTTAGTATGGATGGGAGGGGGGACCCCACGCCGGGTTTTTTAAAAATTGTTTTATAAATCCCTGCAATACTTTTACATCAACTGTCAGTGGGGAACTCCGCCGACAGCTGAAACATGAGCGCTGCATTGGTTTTCACTACTAAAATGCTGCATGAGGTGTGATAACAACTCATGCGGGATTGTAGGAGCGACAGCCATGTGTTAATGTTTCAGCTGTCAGCGGGGTTCCCCACTGACGGCTGAATGTAAAATAATTTCCTTTATTGCAAAATAATAAAAAAAAAAAACAGCGTGGGTCCCCCCTCCCATCCGTACCAAGCCCTTCGGGGGTCCCCCCTCCCACCCGTACCAAGCCCTTCGGATATGGTATGGATATTAAGGGGGAACTCCACGCTGAAATTAAAAAAAAAAAAACAGAGTGGGTCCCCCTCAATATCCATACCAGACCCTTATCCGAGCATGCAGCCCGGCAGGTCGGGAAAGGGGGGGACAAGCGAGCGCCCCCCCCCCTCCTGAACCATACCAGGCCACATGCCCTCAACATGGGGGAGTGCTTTGGGGCAGGGGGGGCTCCCCCTCCCCCAAAGCACCTTGTCCCCATGTCGATGAGGACAAGGGCCTCTTCCCCATAACCCTGGCCGGCGGTTGTGGGGGGGTCTGCGGGCGGGGGGCTTATCAGAATCTGGAAGCCCCCTTTGGTTCGTTTGCACTGTGTTATGTTTTTTAGTATTGCACTGCATTTATGTTTGTATTGTTAGTCTTTAATAAATTATATTGTTTATAACTTATCTGAAGCCTGCGTTTCCCTGCGTCAGTCACAAACCTCTGGTCATACCCGGGAGCCCTGACACCGGCTGTCAGAGGACTCCACACACAGGAGACGTGACCGAGTGCCGGCTGTCAGAGGAATCCACACACAGGAGACGCCACCGAGTGCCGGCTGTCAGAGGAATCCACACACAGGAGACGTGACCGAGTGCCGGCTGTCAGAGGAATCCACACACAGGAGACGCGACCCGAGTGCCGGCTGTCAGAGGAATCCACACACAGGAGACGTGACCGAGTGCCGGCTGTCAGAGGACTCCACACACAGGAGACGTGACCGAGTGCCGGCTGTCAGAGGACTCCACACACAGGAGACGTGACCGAGTGCCGGCTGTCAGAGGACTCCACACACAGGAGACGCGACCGAGTGCCGGCTGTCAGAGGAATCCACACACAGGAGACGTGACCGAGTGCCGGCTGTCAGAGGACTCCACACACAGGAGACGCGACCGAGTGCCGGCTGTCAGAGGACTCCACACACAGGAGACGCGACCGAGTGCCGGCTGTCAGAGGACTCCACACACAGGAGACGCGACCAAGTGCCGGCTGTCAGAGGACTCCACACACAGGAGACGTGACAGAGTGCCGGCTGTCAGAGGACTCCACACACAGGAGACGCGACCGAGTGCCGGCTGTCAGAGGACTCCACACACAGGAGACGCGACCGAGTGCCGGCTGTCAGAGGACTCCACACACAGGAGACGCGACCGCGACCGAGTGCCGGCTGTCAGAGGACTCCACACACACAGGAGACGTGACCGAGTGCCGGCTATCAGAGGAATCCACAGTAAGATTCACTATTAGGCAGTGGCTAAAAAGCAAAACGCAAACGCCCATGGCAGACACCTAAAATGCGTTCTGCACATGCTCAGTTATATCGGCCAAAGACACTGCACGGGCGTCTAGATTTTTACTGTGTCGATTTCCTTGAAAAAAAACTATTTTTAAACACATTCTTAATTTTTTGGGAAATAGCAGATATTGTTTAAAGTGAAGTCCTGATATTTGGCAAAGCAAATTTCTAAGTGAACGTCTCTGCAGTGATTTTTCATGGTGTTAGACGTGCTTCTTAGCAAGTCTGTTTTGTGAGTCTGATTCCGGGCGTGTGTCTTTTTGTGAATTAGATTGGGCATCTGCTTATGGGCTCTGCTCAATAGTGAATTAGGTTGCAGGGTAAAAAATAGACGGACACCCATGAAAATTGGGCTTAAGCCCATGAATATGCGCCCACGCCCAATAGTGAATCAAGGCCATACAGTCTTTCTAAAGAACTCCCATTTCTGTGTTGTGTTTATCGATGCCAATATTTCCTCCCAGTCTAAGTCTTGGAGAGCAGCTTTCAGAATTGGAAAAATAGCTCTCTTAAAGTTGAGCGTTTTTTTTATTTTTCACGTAAGTGCTCGCTGTTTACAGCTAACAATAAATGAAATCATGTTATGGTCACGGCTACCCAGATGTTCTCTTATATGGACATTCGTAATAAGCTCTGCATGATTGGAGAGATGACCGGGTTCAGCAGAGCATCATTCCTAGTTGAGGCTTCTATGAACTGGACCATAAAATTGTCCTGCAATAGGTTTATACATTTTTGCCCTTTAACTGTTCCTGCAGTACCATTATTCCAGTCAATTTCCGGGTAGTTACCATCCCCCATAATTATCACTGTTCCAGACCTTTCCATCTGTGGGGAGGAGCTGAGCCTCCACCTCCTAATTAACACTGGGAGGCCTATAACAAACTCCAATGATGACCTTTGTAGTACCGCCCCCCATGTGCAGTTCCACCCATAATACTTCAGCCTCATCACACTCTCCATCAACTAGGTCCTCTTTCACACTCCCTCTGAGATCACTTCTCACATAGAGACAGACTCCACCACCTTTCCTATTTCCCCCCCGTCTCTCCGAAAGAAAACCTAGACAGGAATATGAATGGCCCAGTCATGTGAGGAATGAAGCCAAGATTCAGCAATACCAATTCAATCCTAGTTCTCTTCATGCACCAAACCTTCCAACTCGCCTATTGTGCTGGGCAGACTTCTGACATTGGGGAACAAACACTTTCATTCACCGACACCTTGTCCATTCACCGACACCCTTGTCCATTCACCGACACCTTGTCCATTCACCGACACCTTGTTCTTTCACTGACACCTTGTTCACATGGATTTTGTGTATTTTTTTATTTTCATACAAATGGTATCAATTCCACAGGTTGTTTGTTACATGGGAACTGTCTTATCATCTGCCACAGCCCTACCCCCATCTTTCCCCATTCCACCCCCCAATAAGTACTGACCCGTCTGATCTGTCTACTCCGTTATAACCAAATTCTCCCTCCCCCCTCCATCCTAGTTTATATACTCTCTCCCAGCCTTCCCATAAACCCCTCCCCCAGCACAGCAGACTCCCTTCCATTTAGGTGCAAACCATCTCTCTAGCATATAGGCTGAACCCCAATGAGAAGTCAGCCCAGTGCTCTAGGTCAGGACTCCATTTTTATTCTTCTCCTGCTATCAATGGCCAACCCGGTCCCAAACTTCATCCATGTCTTTGGTGACCTCTGATCTCCTTATGAAACTGTTTCTTCCATGATGAAGATCAGCCATGGAGTATATCTGAGAGTGTATATCAGGGTGTGCTTCTTCCCCACATGAGAGCTGGGATGTCCAGCAACATTCATCTAGAAGACATTTCCCGCACTCAAAGTACTAATACACCTCCAGGGTGGTGTGGGATCCCTGATGTAAAGGAAGATAGGACTTTAGCGAAGAACATTTCCCTCACTCAGGACAGGAAAGTGGCTTCTCCTCTCCGTGTGAGATCTCTGATGTCTGTAAAGATGGAACTTCTGTTAAAAACATTTCCCGCACTACGGAGAGGAATACGGCTTCTTCCCTGTGTGAGATCTCTGATGTTTATGAAGAAGAATGGACTTCTTTGAAAAAACAGTTCCCGCACTCAGGACAGGAATACGGCTTCTCCTCTGTGTGAGATCTCTGATGTCTGTAAACATCAGACTTCTGTGAAAAACGTTTCCCACACTCAAAACAGGAATACGGCTTCTCCCCTGTGTGAGATCTCTGATGTGTGTGAAGACGGGACTTCTGTGAAAAACATTTCCGACACTCAGGACAGGAAAACGGCTTCTCCCCCGTGTGAGATCTCTGATGTTTATGAAGAATGGACTTCTTTGAAAAACATTTCCCGCACTCAGGACAGGAATATGGCTTCTTCCCTGTGTGAGATCTTTTATGCACATTAAGACCATATTTAGATTGGAAACATTTCCCGCACTCAGTACAGGAGAACCTCTTCTCTGTTGGAAGGCCAGCCCAGTCCCGCACAGTCTGAGGTTCCTCAGGATACGAGGAATCCGATGGTCCATCTACACTGGGTGGTGCCGGATGGATATTGGAGGGAACCGGGTTTTCTCCTGGACTATACTGTGTGATGTCCTCATCTTCTACTTTCCAGTCTGGAGACAAAGTGAGACAATCCTCGGAGGTTTTCCTCATCTCCCGGCCATGGACTAAAATACAAAGACAAAGAGGATTACTAGACAGGAGCTGATTGGTTCCCCCAAACCAGGACTCCGCCCACATCAGGCAGCTTGGTCTCTGAGGAGCTTACAATTCCACCCTCAAGGGAACTAGGAAATGGCTCCTCTGATCTCCTACCAGGTCATTTCTTTATTCATGGACCTTAGTCAGAGAGTGAGGAAACAACCAGAACTGTCTTTTATAGGAGGGACAGTGATGAGGGGATTATAGGACGAGGGTCCCCACCCCCTCTATCACTCATCGCCATCTTCCCAACACAAGAAGTACTGCACTTCCTTATTTAGTAATGAAGAACAGCGGAGCTGAGCCCCACCAGAGGTCAGAGAGTGAGGAGGGGGGGGAGAACAACTAAGATGAAGACTAAACTGATCCTGAAGACCACCATCATTGGGGTATTGACTCCTCCCTCATTATCACTTTATGTTTATGGGTCCAAAGTTGGAGGATGTTATCACATTATTATCACCATGTAAAAGTCTGTGCTCCAATCACATCATCCGATATAAAATGTCCAGCTGGGAGGAAATGGGTGTAACAAAAAAAATCCATATTATGTGTATATATAGCAGTGGGGGGAGGGGGGAGAGCAGAAGTCAGGACTATGGAATGTACAACATAGAGTATATAGTGCAGGGGTCAGGAGTATGTAATGTACAACAGAGTATATAGTGCAGGGGTCAGGAGTGTGGAATGTACAACATAGAGTATATAGTGCAGGGGTCAGGAGTATGTAATGTACAACATAGAGAAATATAATGCAGGGGTCAGGAGTATGTAATGTACAACATAGAGTATATAGTGCAGGGGTCAGGAGTATGTAATGTACAACATAAAGTATAAAGTGCTGGGGTCAGGAGTATGTAATGGACAACAGAGTATATAGTGCAGGGGTCAGGAGTATGTAATGGACAACAGAGTATATAGTGCAGGGGTCAGGAGTATGTAATGTACAACATAGATTATATAGTGCAGTTATCAGGAAGATATAATGAACAATATAGATTAAATAGTGAAGGGTTCAGAGTATGTAATGTACAACATAGAGTAAATTGTGCAGGGATCAGGAGTATGTAATGTACAACATAGAGTATATAGTGCAGGGGTCAGGAGAATGTAATGCACAACATAACATATATATTGAAGGGGTCAGGAGGATGTAATATACAACATAGAGTATATAGTGCAGGGGTTAGAAGTATGTAATGTTCAACAAAGTATATAGTGCAGGGGTCAGGAATATGTGATGTACAACAAAGACCATATAATGAAGGAATCAGGAGTATGTAATGTACAACATAGCCTAAAAAGTGCAGGGGTCTGTAGTATGTAATGTACAACACAGAGTAAATAGTGCAGGGATAAGGAGTATGTAATGTACAACATAGAGTATATAGTACAGGGGTCAGTGTGGTATGTAATGTAAAACAGTGTATATAGTGCAGGGGTCAGAAGCATGTAATGCAAAACTGAGTATATAGTGCAGAGGTCAGGAGTATGTAATGGACAACACAGAGTATATAGTGCAAGGGTCAGGAGTATGTAATGTACAATATAGATTATATAGTGCAGGGATCAGGAGGATATAATGTACAATATGTTGTGGTGGTTTATGTAAGGATATATATTATTTATAAAGGGCGTGTCCCTTTCCCTTAGATGAAATATTACAGTGCCTCCAGCCGTTAAAATACGGCAAATATTTAGTAAACCAATAATTTGGACACTTTGATAATTTGATCACCACTTATTATTATACCTTGAATTCTTTTAGCCAATATGATTTCGTACCATACACACAAAATTTGCCTTATAATAGATAAATATAAAAAATTTATTTATGTACAAAAATTATATATACATTAACACAAAACGCAAAAGACTGGTGATAAATGAATAATGGTACACACAATCAAAATATATCCTACCAATGTAAGACACACTAATCAAGTTTCTAACTAATTACATCAATTACAATTTTTAAATGATATGATTATTTATTAAATTTATTAATAATTAATAATTTCGAATATCTCAAAGGTTATATTCTCGCACGCCGTGGCCATAGGATTGCAAGAAGTAAGCCCTTGATATGTGATACTCTGGTTATTAATATTCAATAAATTATGAAATATGGAAAAATTTATAATATGGCAATAAACAATTTTTTTAACAGTAACACAGTATCTGACTACAGATATCTAACTACCCAATATTGTTGTAATACACTAAGGTAATTTTATGATTCTACACAACAACAGAGAAAGTAATTAATACAAAATCAAATAAACATCTCACCACACCCGGACGTCAGACTAGGCAACTCTCCCGTGGATTTAGCTGGCAGTGGAACGCCTTTAGACTGATATATAGGCAAGTGATAGATTCAATAGGGGAGAATGTAGGAAGTTATAAGTTTAGAGGTTTAAAGTTTAGGAAGTTTGAAAAGATGGAAGAGTAGTTATTCAGCAGAGATCTTCTTCAGATGTCAGGTCTTTCCATGAGGTCTTTATGAGGGTTTTTTTTTTTTCCTTTTTCTTAAAGCACATGGGCTTTTATATCCACTAGTCCATTGTTCTAAGATACCTTCCCACCAGGCTTCCTGATTGGCTAGTTGAGAAATGTGTGTACATAAGCTATTTCTCACCTGCCCGCCAGGTGGCGGTCATGTATCACAGAACAATGTGAGTATTTGAGATGACTCATACCTTGGGTGGAATCTTCAGGTAATTTCAGGAATAAAATATACGGCTCTATCCAGATATAGCAGTGATACCTATATTATTCTAAATAGGGACCATGGAATATAGGTGTATATTCGGTTATTCCTCCTTGAAGTACCATCCTGTTTGTTTCCTGATAAGACATGTAA